GTGTCTACTAGTTCTTCGTTGCGCCAACAATTTGGCGCTTTTTGTACAAATGTTCCCCTGGGAGTTAGGACGCTACTGGAGGCCCCTGGCCTTACTACTACTTTGACCGCGCCGAAAACGGCTCTGTGTGTGTGTGTGTCCACCCCTGGGAAAAAGGTTTTCGTCCACTGGTCCAACGGTAGGGGGTGTCTTGAAAAAGCGCCGAAGCCGGCGACTTGTGTGTGTCCACCCCTGGACAAAGGGTTTCCTTCGACCACTCCAATCAGGCAGGGGGATCAGGGACGTTTGGCTTGGCCTGATCCAACGAAGCTCCAGCCATTCGTCAGGATATTCTCGAGGGACGCCTTGAGAACGTACCTGCTTTCAACGCACTGACTCCAATGGTTCACCCTGCCGCTGTTTTGTTGATTTCATGGTTCTTCATGCCTCCACCCCCCAAAACAGGTTTCTTTCAGCCGCTGAGCCGCCGACTTGCACAGCTTTGCAACCGCGTCTTTCGAGTGTATTTGGAAACCATGTTCAACAATACTTTTCAGCGGACCTTGCCACCTTGCCGTTCTCTCACCTTCCTTCTCAACGTGGGAATTGAATCACTGAATACAAGTGTCAGAGTGTGTGTGTGTGTGGGGGTTGGACCTTTTCTTTTTCCATGTCTCTTCAGATGTTCTTTCTTTTTCATGTTCTTTCATACTGTTTATGTTCCGCTTCCTTTCCCATTCATTTTGCCTTTTTAAGTTTCTTTTTTGGATATAGTAATATAGCACCAATGTGATCCAATTTGAGGTATAGTCGAGAGTTCGAAATTCATGTGCGATTTGGTGTTGGCTGGAGGAACAAGTCAATCTATCGGCAACACATTCCGACCAATCCACTGCCAATCCAAGCTTCTTGTAACCAGTGGGAAAAGAAAGGGAATCTTGCTCTAAGCGGCTATAGGGGCTAACCTCGCATGCCCAAGTTCAGAGGTTCAGAATTCCAAGGTGGTCACGTTCACATCCTTTTCACAGTCTGCGACCAACACGTAGGGATCACCGATTGTGGGGGCATGCTTTGTCGCGAGGATTCCCTTTTTGTATCGTCTTCTAGAAAAGGAAAGAGCAAGCGCCTGTAGCCAGTGCATTTATATACTGAGGAACGGGTGGGTGTGTTGGTGGAAACGCGAGGCACCCCTTTGATGGATGTTGCACGGAAGGATAAAGGAACGGGTGGAGCATTGACCCCTTGACCCCATACCTGCTGAGCTTTGGACCTGCCATGACGTCTAATCCTCAAAGGGCACCTAAGGAAGATCCTCATCACTCCTTCCCCCCCATGCAATCCCCTACCTGGTCCGATGGACCAGTTGTCCAAAAAACCGATGCCTTCTCCAGGAACTGGTGGGAGGTGCCGGAATTCCTGGCCACACCCTTTGATCTCGTGATCGATTTATGGGGCACTCGACCTGCCTGGGACCATGCGGTGGCCTCCCCAGCAGTTGCTTGGGAGAAAGCGCGCCGCGACGGCGCGCGACGGACCTGGGCGGTGGGCGCGCCGCATGTTTTTTTTTGGCACCAAACACCATCAAGATGGTGGGGATGAGAGGTGAAACTCACCAAATTGGTCCTTTGGTGTATGTGTTTGATGGTTTTTGGATGATCTGATCTGATCTTTAAAATCATTTGAATTGGAGGAAGCGTAGAGCTCTTGGCTCCTGATGTTTACAGTTATAGATTTACTGCAGGTGGAGCTTCCAAGCAGTGAGATTCTTGCAAGTTCCCCTTGACTGAGATCGCTTCGTGACGTTCTTCTACATCACATTGGTGTGTATGTTGGCGCCCCTGGGTCAGTGAGTTCCCAAGCTAAACACTGAAACACCTTCACCAAGCCATCAAAGGGGTACCACTTGCTTTGTCTCGTCCGCACCGAACCTCGCCGGCCCTCGAAAACGTTCCAAAACGTCACTGGCTCTCCTCGCACCGCCCGTCGTGAGGTGAAGGCTGGACGCGAAGGCAAACGGTCTGTCGGTGTGTTCTTGTGACCGGTGGGACCGGTGGTGAAGAAATGGGGGGCTGGGCAGGGCAGGGGAGAGGAAGCACGGGGGTGCGCACAGTCCATGCAACAAAGAGGATGGAGTTGCAGGATCGGAGATGGTTGAAATTCCGAAGAAATATTCTCTGGACTATGGCCAATTAGTCTATTGTTTGGCAAGGGCCAATTACTGTTCTTTGACAAGCGCCGATGCTGCGCTTGTCGTTCGAGTGTGCAGAAGATGTTACTGTAGATTGACAGATTGATGCTTTGTGTCGGATGCTTTGTGACAATGTGCAGGTTCACCATCTAAAGACAAAACCCAAACATATCCAACCACTCCATGTATGGCACGGCATGTCATATTTACATAGCCTAGACCCATTGAAAAACCACCCATTGGAGTGTATCAGTAATATGATTCAGGAAATCCGGACGGACAACACCTTTCCAAATTCCAGATAAGGTTGCCTCAGTCAGTGAAGGAGAGAGTCTTCCGGCGAGTGAACCCCCCCAACCGCGCCTGTGATTTGCTCGGGTACCACTGGAGCCTCCGACAGAGCCGCCAGGGAGCGTCGGAGATTTGCCATGAGTGATTAGGCCAAGCCGCAAGATACATATGGTATGGGCATGGCTATAGGCCATACTTCCTACAAAGGACAATGGCATACCATGGCCCAAATGCAAGCAAGCTTCGCATCCTCACTTGGAAGACATTTGCACCAGGATCAGTCAAACTCATGGTTGCAGCGATTGTAAATTAGCCATGGCGATCAGAATTTCAGCTTTGCAGATCAATGGCGAGGCCATGTTTCTTGAAGTGATGCCACAGACGACCGGTAGAGAGCTCAAGTGGGAGATTAGACAAGGGCAGCTTTGGGATGAGGCTACTCACCGGACCACTGGAGTGGAGATTGTAGTTGGGGACCGTGTGCTTGGCAATTCCGAGACGGTGGCAGAGGTAGGGCTCGCTGCAGATAGTGTTGTGAGCATTGTCATCAAACCAAATCTTGTGAGATGCTCCAACAAAAGTGCAATTGCCAGCTTGTGGAGCGAACTTGACTTGAACTTATTGCTCGCTGTTGAAATCCCGAACCATGAAGATCAAATTGCTGATAATGCCTTTGTTTTCTGCACCAGGATGGCCAAATTGACCATCCCGGACTCCGTGACCCACATTGGGAATAGAGCCTTTTACACTTGCAGTTCTTTAAAGACCTTGACCATCCCGAATTCAGTGACCCACATTGGGAATGGTGCCTTTAGGAG